CCCCCGGGAGCGCTGCTCCCCCGCGTCACGGGCAGGCCGGGCTCGCTCGCTCCCCGCCCCGCCCGGCCCGGCCCGGCCCAGGCGCTAACGCAACGCGCGAGGCCGCGTGTCCCCCCCCGACAGCCGGGGCGGCTCGCGGCCCCTCCGCGCCGGGCCCGGACCCACCTGCCTCCTTCCCCACCGGCAAGGCCGCGGCGTCCCCGTTGCTACCCGCCCCGTCCGCCATCTTCTACGAGCGCCCCGGCCGGCTCCGCCCCCAGCCCGGAGCTATCGCGAGAGGGCCGGCGTTCTCGCGAGCTCCGCGCTGTTCGCCGGCGCCGACGCGGGGCACGTGACGCAGGAGCCAGGCCGGGGCCTCCATGTTGGTTGTGGGCAGAGGCGGCCCGGGCGGGGTTGCCATGGGGACGGGGCGGCCTGTCCCAGGGCTGCGAAGGGCCAGGCCAGGCCCCTGCCCAAGGTACCGAGCTGCCCCCCAGGCCCAGGTGCCAAACCCATCCCGCAGGCCTGGGCCCAGCCAGCACCCCTGGAGCCAAACCCCATGACCGCACCTGTGCTCTGCTGGGTTACAGGCCGCGCGGGAAATCCAGCAGCCAAGGGCCCGTGAACCCCACCCCCGGGGCTGGCAGCCTCAAGTGTTCACAAATCACACCCCTGGCTTCAAAACGGACTAGAACGGTGCGGCCCCATTGCTGGGCGTGGGCATGTGTCTTTTAGTTGGGTTCTGAACCTCTAGGCCGCATCCACTTTTCTCTGCAACCGCGAGGGACAGGAAATGACCTGACCAGAGCGGGGAGTCGCTGACGGCCATGCCTCCAGGACCTGGAGCTTTGAGACAGGTGTCAAATATCACAGCACTTGTGGTAAAACTCTGAAAGTTGGCAACACTGAAATTCCCCAACACAAGGGGTAATGTCAAATAAAACCCACACCGAATCCTCAAGAGAGAATCAGTCACCCAGCGGGAAAGGTTATAACACAAAGAAAGCGAAGGTAAGAGAAAGGCCATGATACAAACTTCCATAAACTAAAGGAAAAGTTACTTATACCACAGCAACCTAGGGGAGACGAGGCGTGTGTAGATTGTGCAGACCTTCCTATGACTGTCCCCCTTTTTAAAATCTGCTTTGATCAGCAGTGGGAAAGTTAACTGTTGACACTGAGTGTCATTAGGCATCAGAATTAACATTCCATTGGGATTAGGAGGGGTAGTTCACACCTCAGAGCTATTACTTCAGGCTGGCTGTAAACTCAGGCAGACCTTACTGCATTCATTTTTGTTTGGGTCACATTTTGAAAATTAGCTTTACTACCAGACAGTCTACTGACTTTTTTTTTTTAATTAAAATGTGGATGGTGGTTTGTGGGAATCATCCAACAGGAGAAAATAATAATGATCTACCATAAACCAGCCCACAGTAGATTCCAGTTCCTTCTGCTACAGCAGGAATTAATTTAAATCCACAAAAAGAAAGAACATTCAGCAATCCAAGATGGTAAAATCTGGACAGAACTCTTCCAAAACCCATGCAGAGGGGCTCATCCAGAAAAAATTCTCTCTAACAAAAACATTTGTATGACTAAAATATACGTAGGAGGAGATGCCATTAAAATCTGCCAGATCCCACAGACTCTCCCATTACAATATAAACAAAACTTTCAGAAACTCTAGAGGAAGAAATCTTGAGGCCTGGATAATATTTCATGTATGTTTGGTTGTTTTGCAAAGCTTTAGTTTTAAACTCTTGTTCCTAATGAAATATAAGGGAACCTATTTCTCTCACTGTTGTCTCCAGAGCAAGATGTTTGACTCCGTTGTAAGTTGTCTCCACGATGGTTGCATCTGTTGATTGTACTGAGATAGGTTAGTCTTTGTCCTCCACGTGTTCTCCTCCCTGAAAGTGATATCCAATCTAATATGTACCTTGTGCTTCTATGCATTCACAATGGCACAATAGTTCAAGAATTGTAATATCAGTTGTTTAGATACTAGAATAACCTTTTTAGAATCCCTTCTCTTGTACGCCTCCTCAGCTACTCTTGCTTTATTTTCCATCTAGTGCCACAGGAGAACAGAAACAGAAGGAAAACAGCATCAAAGGTTGCAGGATCTTAACAATATGCCACTCTTCAATGCCCCAGAGAACTTCAGCTTTGAGAAATCTTCACAGTGGACAGCCTGGAAGCAGGATTTTGCAAGATTTCAAATGGCAAACAAGCTTTACAAAGACACTGGAGATATACAGGTATCATCCGTAATTTATGCTATAGGGAAGTAGGCAGAGGATATCTTTAAATTCTTTGACTTTTCTGAAGCCAGTCACAAAGAGGACTATGAAAGGGTTCTGGTTATGTTTGATGCCTACTTTATACCCCAGAGAAATGTGGTTTATGTTTTCAGCAGAAAATTTAAGAACGAGGGGAAAACGTTGAATGTTTTATAAGAGCTCTGCGTGCATTGGCTGAAAACTATGATTTTGGAAATTGTGAAACACAAAAATCTTTCACAGCAGCTACAGTTGAATCATAGAATCTCAGGGTTGGAAGGGACCTCAGGAGGTCACCTAGTCCCACCCCCTGCTCAAAGCAGGACCAATCCCCAACTAAGGCCGAAGACAGCCTTAAGTCTAGCTACTCCTATATAGGTTTCAGAGTAGCAGCCGTGTTAGTCTGTATCCGCAAAAAG